CCACATGTTCAATGATCAAATATTAAGTAAATTTTACTAAAAACGAAAAAATAAGCACCTTGAAAATGCGTTTGGGGTAATAGTCATCACGGAGAGATTCTACAATCTTTGAAAACTGAAAGGAATAAAAAAGTGCAATAATTTCTTAATTAGTCATATCGATGAAAGATGTATAAAAATTGTTGCATATATATATATATATATATATATATATATATATATATATATAAATAAATCGATAAAAAATCGAAAACTAATAAAATAAAATAAATAAAGAAACAAAGTGACAATAAAATAAGTAAAATAAATTAACCCAAACAAATTACCAAATCATACCCGTTCGAATAGCTGAAGTAGAATAAATAAATAGAAAACTAAAAAGAGTAAATTAAAATATACAGCATAATAAATTACGTCCAAAAAAAAATCATAAAAACTAAACAAAAGTAAATTGTCAGTCTTATTTAAACACACATATATTAAAGAGTGGTTGCTGCCCTAAATTCTGTACACACACACACAAATATATATATATATTTTTATATATATATCTATATATATATATATATATATGTGCTCAAATACATACTCACATATATATATATATTTGTGGGTTTTATATATATATATGTGTGTGTGTGTGTTTGTGTATGTTGTGTATTTGGGTTAAATCCCATGTGTATGTGTTTTCATGAAAGACGACTGAATGGGACTGCAGTTAAGTTTTATTTTCAATTTTTCATGTGTTCCGTTAACTGGTTTCTTTTCTGGACATAAACTTTGTAAAAATTACTAACACAAGTTTTGTTTCCGAACTTTTAAATATTAAATATTTTCGGACTATATTTTTAGATCTTTTCAAAAATTCTTATTTTATTTTAACCCCCACGAACAATTTTTGTACATATCTAGGGATTATTAGGATTTTTTAGAGAATTTGAACATATTATGGTGGACATTGTGAAAGTGTTCATAATTGTTATTTTGCGTGTTGGAATATTGTTTTTTTTTTTTTTTTCAATGTCTGGGTATTTTAAGGTTAAAAACTATTACAGAAGAAGACCGTCCTTCAATCCCATCCCCCTTTTAGGCCTTTTAACCACATTTTTTATGGATCCTAATTCATAAATAAACAGAAAGATGTAATGTAAGTCTTCGTTTAGGTGAAATATCCTAGGTAGGTTTGTTTTTGGTTTTCCAAACACAAATCTATATATTGAATATATATATAGAGATTTGGATCTTTAGGAAAATGTTAATGACATGGAAATTAAAGGTTAAATATTTTTTTATGAAAATTCATTTAATTAATCTTGTTGTGGAGACTAGGGTTGCGTTTTCTTTAAAATATTTAGCTAAATAAAAAGAAGAAGAAGTTTATAACGAATACTTGAAGAAAATTAAAAGGAAGTAAAAAATTTCAGGAGAAGAAATGAAATACAAAATAAAAATATATGAGTTCTTTTTCCGGATAATGAAATAAAAGATGAAAAAGAAGAAATAAAAGAAAAAATAAGTAGAAGGTGGAGAAGAAAAAGGAAAGAAGAAGAGAATGAAAAAGAACAATGTCGAAGAGAAGCCGTAAAAGAAAAAAAAAGAAAAAGAAAATGAAGAAGATTAAAGGAGGAGAAGAAGAAAAAGAAAAGGAGACAAAGAAAAAAAGAAAAAGGATAAAAGAAGAAGAAAAAGAAGCAAAATAAAAAGACGAAAAAAGAAGAAAAAAGGAAAAGAAAAAAGAAGAAAAAAGGTAAAATGTGAAGGTGTGTGGGAAGTAGTAAAAAATGCAATGAAGAAAAAAAAAAATGGAGTTTGAACCAAAAATAATAATAATAATAAGAAGAAGAAGAAGAAGAAGAAGAAGGAAAGATAGATAAAAAAAAATATGAAATAATCGTTTTTCATTAAAAACGAAATGAAAAAAAAAGTAGAAGTCATTTTCAACTGGCGAAGAGTGAAGAAAAACGGGGAGGAGAAGAAAATGAAGAAAAAAATTCTTTACAATACCCGAAACCAACATCTTGTTTGAAAATTCGATTTAAATACCTTTGAATCTCTTAAAAAAAAAAATGATATATAGCGCCGTTTTTAGCGAGACTCTTTTAGTTGTTATGATTCATATTTTTTATTCATCTTGATTCAACGCCTGGGTTCTGCAAAATGCCGTTGCCTGTACACATTCTTTTTCAACATTCGGTTTTCAAATCGTGTTTTCCTTTATGGGCATGTGTATTATATAGCTATAATAATCATAGCCATTTGAGGGTTAATGTGAAGGAAAATGGCGGTCAAAACTCACAAAATATATTAACTGTCCCCCGCATGCGTTGAATAAATCTCCGTTTGCGAAGGATCGTCATAAGAAAAGGGAATAATTCGAAGAAAGATGGCGTCGTGCGTGAGCGTATTTTGTTCGACTGAGTTCGTCGCTGAGAGACGACTGTTAAAATATGAGTGGGCTTAGGAAGATATAATTGTTATGACTAGTTTTATTAAACGGAAATTATGATGAAAGAGAACCCCCCCTTCAAAAAAAAAATGAATAAACGAAACCAAAATTTAAAAAAAAAAAAAGAAAAATTTTTATCTCAAATCTTAGATCAGGTCGAAAATGGAGAACTGCTGTCATATTTAGCCGGGAGATGACCATGCAGTACACCTTAGCTTCAATAGGGTCCAAAAGCGTCTCAGAGTCCTTGAGGGCGACGAATTATTTTCCACCCTCCAACTTCTTTCTCTCCCAGGCGGGATGTAGCAATAATCTCACTACTCTATAGTTACTTTCACGGAAAGTGCTTGAAAGAAATATATTATTTGGTTCCACCAGATCCAACCTCCATATTGTCATACCATAATTCCTATTCTATTGTAATAGACTCTCCCACAGATAAAAAGTAGTAGTAGCAGTGGCCAGTTGGGCTCAGTGGTGTTGAGTGAGTCAGTCGATGTCGGACATTGAAGTATCAACCATCACAACTAGATTGCTGCGTCATTAACTCTTATTTCAAGTTCCTAATGTTTTGTACGTCGGAACCTAATTTAGGACGACTTATTGAAATACAAGCCTCCACTGTGAAAACTACTCTACAACCCATATCTAGGACACGCCATATATTGCAGAAAACAACTCACATTACCTTTGTATTCCAGAGAAGAATGTTCCACTGGAACAGCTTTTCTCCCTCGAACTACTTCTCTAGGGGAACCGACTCTCAAGAAGGTGTTTCCCCAATCACTACAATCTTAACCTGTTCAAGTCTAGGGTTAACCGTTATTTTCACCTCCTATCAGTACAAAAAAAAAAAACTCCTAACGTAAAACTCTACCTCGAGTGGCCACGGGCCTTTTATAAGGTGAGCCTTACTGTAAAAAATATGTCTAAACTGTATGGGAGGGAAAAAAATCAATGAAAGAAATCATTTTTCTAGCATTCAAAAATCTAGAACGGAAAATACTAAGAATCAGATAATGAATGAAATGTCAAATTAATAATGCTTGAATAATTGTGAAAATTAATGAATAATAAATTGAATGTAAACAAATTATTAAAAATAAAGAAAAGAGAACAAAGCTCTAGCAATCAAATAATGGAGGAAATACTGATCACGTAAAAATTGAGTAATGGCAGCCCAGTTCGCATTTCTTAGAGTATATCTCCGCGGCCTTAAGGGTGATGAATTATTTTCCAATCTACAACACCTTTCCCAAGAGACGAAATGATGCCAGACTCTCGCTGCTTTATCACTACGTCTACAACATGTCTTTTGACGACCTACATTCCTTACCCAAGACCTTTACAACTTGCCATGCTATACTATGTTAAGAAAGAATAATTACCCAATCCTCTTCGTATTTCATAAGTAAGAAGTGACTTCTATTCGGACAGCTTCTCAGGAACTGCTGCTTTGTTGAACAGACTCCCGACAGGATATTTCCTTAATACTTTCTTTTTTTTTTATGTGCCATGTCATTTTAGGACGTAGGCGATCATGGCTCTCCACTTCCTTCTATCCTTTGCAGCTCTCAACAATTTCCTTCACCCTGCTTCCTCCCCCAGACCACGTACTGTCATCTACTTTCTTGAACGCGCCAGTTATGCCACACGTTGTTTTCCCTTGTCTATCTTACGTTCTATTCGACCCGTGAGTATCAGATTCTCCAGGCCATCCTTTCTCATTATGTCCCAGAAACTGGAGCTGCCTACTCCTTGTTTGCAAACTCTCTAAGACCTCATTGTTGCTCACACGCTCGGTCCATGATATCCTTAGCATCCTTCTGTAGAACCACATCTTTTCTTAATTACTGAATTTTTTTTAACCTCTTTAAATCTTTAAATATTTAGCATAAAATAATCCAGAGCATTTGATATTCTATTTTCGTTTTTATGTGCCGTGTCCTTCCAGGACGTGGGCGATGATGGCTCTCCACACTTCCCTCTATCCCTTGCAGCTCTCAACAAGTTCCTTCCTTCTGATTCCTCCCCCAGACTACGTTCTGTCATCCATTTGCTTAATTCCGCCAGGTATGTCACACGTTGTTTTACCTTGTCTCTCTTTCCCTCTATTCGACCCGTGAGTATCTGATTCTCCAGGCCCTCCTTCCTCATTATATGTCCCAGAAACTTCAGCTGCCTCTTCCTGATCTTAAGTATACGCTTTCTTCTGTAAGATATCATCGTTGGACACAGGCTCGGTCCATGATATCCTTAGTATCCTTCTGTAGAGCCAAATCTTTTCTTAATTACTGTTTTTTTTTTGTCTCTTCTTAATTTTTTTTTTTAAATCTTGGATTAAACGCTATTTTTCCTTTATAACGACAGTAACTTCCCGCCTTTTCTTGTACTCATCTAAAATCCAACAGTAACCCTCTGTCTTGATTGTTTTTTTTTACCTCTTTAAATATTTAGCATAAAATAATCCAGAGAATTTTATATGCTTCTTTCTTTTTATGTGCCATGTCATTCCAGGACGTGGGCGAGCATAGAATAATAAGCTTTATATCCCTTAGGGTATTGTATCGAGTAAACTTTGGTACAGAAAATGGAATCGAGGAAAGAGAGAGAGAGAGAAAGAAAGAGAGAGAGAGAGAGAAAAAAAAGAGAGAGAGATAGAGAGAGAGAGGAGAACAAATTCAAAGAGAAAGAAGAAACAAACAAACGAAGAATCTTTATTACACTAAATGAAAGGAAGAAAGATAATCGATTTTAACAAAAAAATAATTAGAAAATTATGAAAAAAATATCAGGAAAATTTAGATAATGAATAAAATATTTTTTTAAATAATTAATAATAAAATCAATAAAATCGAATAAATAAAATCTACATAAACTCTAATCTTGTACGTATGTATGTGTCCCCCCGAGATACTGAGTAGCAAATACATAATACCTTAAACAATTTAGTAACATATTGTAGCTTGAATCCAATAATGGCATACCAAATTTCCAGGAACCGGTTCCATAAATACAGGTAATCTTAGGACTCTATTCTGCAAAGATTCTTTTTAATTTAAGAATGGAAACAAAACACTTATATCTAAAAAAAAAAAAAAAAAAACATTTTGATAACTATATAGAAAACATTTATTTATTAAGATATTTCCAGATTGAAATTTTATTTTCATTATATATCTTTTACTTTTATTTTCATTTAATTTATTTTATTTTATTCGATTTATTTATTTTATTTCATTTTATTTTATTTTTTATTTTATTTTTTATGTTTTATTATATTTTATTTTATTTGTATTTATTTTATTTTTCATTTTTTAATTTAATTTAATTTTTTTATTTATTTTATTTTCAATATATTTCTGTTACTTTAGTCCTTTGTTTTACTCAAGAGTCATCAGCTGTGTTATGATTTCTTACCCTGATTCGAACTGTATCGTTGCAGTGCCAAAGATCGAATGAAAGATCTATCAAATTGATGACTAGTAGATATGCCACATTTTTAACTTCGAAACAATTTCTTTTGTCAGAATAATTTGGGTTCACCAAAAAAAAAAAAAAAAAAAAAAAAGCCTCTTTCAGTCTCCGCAGAAATTATAGCAATGGTACTAAATATATTTTTAGCTTTTTTGGATAGTTTTGGGTTTAAAATGTTTATCGTGATTTCTCGTTACGTATTCACAGAAATCAGTAACAAAAATTTCCTGTGTGTTGAGTGGGGCGTATGTCCACTAGAATTTCCCTAGGCGAGTGCACGTGCCTAACGTAACTAACATTTTATCTAGACCGTCGGCTATTAATATATAAGATTATTTTCGGATAATCCACAACCTGTTCGATAAGCTTTTATAATTTTGAGAATCGGTTCGGCCGAACCTGTGGGAACCAATAGGATGCTACTCTTGCTTGACCCCTGCCGCCTGCAGTAGCAAATATCATTAAATTAAACAAGTTCTTCAGCTAAGGCCGTTTTCCCATTTTACGGCATTTTAAATAGGAAATACAGTATTTATTTCGATACACATTCTTATATCGATCTGAATCTATAAACAAGCAATTATAATTAATATGGCAACGATTATGTCTGTGAAAAATGATAAACATTCACAACATATTATAAAAACATTATTGAATAAATTTGAATATGCGTAACACATCATATATTTATACAATTCACTACACTAAATTAGTTTTTTATTGCCTACTTCTTGAAAGAGGAAGAGGCTATATGTGCCACGTGACACTGATTTTCTGACGTTACGGATAATGAAATAATTGTGAGAAAGAAATAAGTATGTGTAATAAAAATATACCTATTATTTGAAAAAAAAAAGACTATCCCTATTTTAAGATGTTATTCAAAATTTTCACGCAAGTGTTAACTATGAAGCCCGCTGGAACAATAAACCTTCTTTTGCGTCTTAATTATCAATTTTACATTTAATATACAGTTTATGGAAAAAATATCTATTTACTATAAAGAATTATGATATATATCTATTGATATCGTAAAATAATTTGTTTTTATGCTATAAATCAGTATAGATTTCCAGTAAGACATTTTTTGTTGTTTTTATTCGTTTTCGGGCAGCAAAATGGTTACTATTAACTAATAATTAAAAGAAAAATATACTTGTTATTATGAAAAATGATTGCACCTGTTTTAAGCTATAACTCTAAATTTCCACGCAATGTGTTAACTATAAAGCTCAGTGGGACAATAAACCTTTTTTTACGTCTTTAAATACAAAGTATAATGTGTAAATATTAATAAAAATGATAATATTGTAAGCTCGTCATTTTGTTTTCAAACGAAAGCCATCGGGTTTATGAATTGTCTAAAATAATGAATCAATAAAAATCAACTAAATATAAAGAGTAATAAAATATATAAAATAACGATAAAAAAATGAATGAAATAGTGAAAGAGATGAAAAAAAGGGAGAGAAAGAAGAAAAGAAGAGGAAGAACGAGAATAAATAAATAATTAATGGAAGATTAATTACTACAGGAAAAGAAGCAAGAAAGAGAATGGCAATTAGCAGAAAGTATAGCACGCAATAAGATAAATCTTTTTAAAAAGTAATTGAAAAAGCGAAAATTAGAAGTTAAACACATATAAGGGGCCAGAGAAAATGCGAAAAAATGGTAATGAAAGAAAATGCGAAAAAATATTAAAAGAAAAAAATATGAATTATATCATCTAATTTAAAAAATACATCCTAACACGGGAAGGACATGACCAAGAACTGCGTGTACTCCATCTCTTGTAGTTGTGGCAAAGAATACAAAAGTGAAAAATGCCGTCCTCTAAAAATAACGCTGGAAAGACATCGAAAAAAATCATTAAAAAATCGTAGTGGGAGATTAGAAAATGAAATCGTGCATGACTGATCAGGTATGGAGACAAAAGTGTAGTTACCTGTGAAAAGAAGCGAAAAACAACAAACAAGAAAGACTATTGGATGGTTACACGTCTGAAAGACTAGGCGTATATGCTAGGCTATGAGGACCTCTTTATTAGACACAGCATAAAATACAATATAGGATCCGTTAATAAAGAAAAAGGACAAGTTTTAAACAGTATCAGCAGTTTTAACAAAAGTCTTTGTGAGTACAGTGAAGCATGATTAGCACTCATCAGCGATCAGGCTTAGTTTAAGACTTCAAATAAGGCTTGAGGAACATTGAATAGTTGTAGAAAGGGGGGATGCAAGACAATGAAATCGGATATGGCGGATCATGTATGGTGGGAAAGGGGTAGTCATAAGCCCCTGTGAAATGAAGTGTAAATACTCTACTGTAGAATTAGATGTCAGAATGAACGCATATGTTAAACAATGAGGACCTCCTTAGTAGATATATTATAGAAAGATATACATTATGGGAGCCACTAATAAAGAAAGAAAAAAAGAAGAAATAAAGTAAGGGAGACAGCAAGAAAAAAGAAAGAAAGAAAATGACAAAGAAAAGTGGGAAAGAAAGAAAGTGAGAAAGAAAGAAAGAAAGAGACACGGCAAAAAGCACGAAATAAGAAAGAAATAATGAAAGAAAGGAAGAAAAAAGCAAGAAAGACAGCAAGATAGAAAGAAAGTGATACGACAAGAAGAAAGAAAGAAAGAATGTAAAAAGAAATATATAAAGGAAGATAGCAAGATGGAAAGAATGAAAGAGATACGAAAAGAAAGAAAGAAACAAACAAACAACAAAAAAGAAAAGCAGCAAAAAGTAATAAAGAAAGATAGTAAAATAGATAGAAAGAAAGAGATACAGTGAAAAGAAAGAAAGAAAGAACGAAAGAAAGAAAGATGAAGGAATGATAGCAAGAAAGAAAGAAAGAAAGAAAGAAAGAAAAAGAATGACAGCAAAAAGAAATAAAGAATGATAGCAAGATAGAAAGAAAGAAAGAAAGAAAGAAAGCGATAGGACAAGAAAAAAGAAAGAAAGAAAGAAAGACAGACAGACAGCAAAAAGAAATACATAAATGAAGAAAGAAAGAAAGAGATACGACAAGAAAGAAAAAAAGAAAAAAGAAAGAAAGAAAGCAAAAAGAAATAAAGAAAGCCTGAGAGCAAGATAGAAAGATCGAAAAAGATACAAGAATAAAGAAAGAAAGACAGTAAAGAGAAAGAAAAAAAGAAAGAAAAAAAAGAAAGAAAGCGATACAAGAAGAAAGAAAGAAAGTCTTCAACGCTAGCTGAGGTAAAAGTCTTTTATTTCAGCTGCCGTTGAATACTTTCTTTGTTCGGTGAGTCGAGTCAAGCATGACTAACTAATCCACTGGCAGGTAGGTTGGGTTTAAGGTTCCAAGTCCGATACAGAGAATTGTCCTATCGGACAATAGTATTGGGGATTAAAGAGTTGATTTTTGAATTTGTTGGTATAATTGCTAGTTCAGTCTCGGAGTTGGGCACTGTGTAATCGGACAGAGTGAAAAAAAAAGGGGGAACGAACAATAAATGAGAAGTACAAAAAAATATGAACAACACGAGATATCTCTGGTACGAGAACAGTCTACCTCTGTAAATTATCCCGATCAATAAACCCGAGGAAGGCTGAAGAACACAACGTCTGAAATGTAATAACAACAAGAAAATGAGGACAATATTACGTAATAAAAAAATTCAAAAGACATAAAAGAATATTAAAAACATAAAAAATGCGGGATTACAATAGGCAGGAAACTATTATTATTTACAGCTACAATGAAGAAATTTTGGAGAGCCAAGGATTACAAAGAACCTGTCTAGTAAATGGTTGGTAGAAAGGGATTAAAGAGGCAGAAAATAAGCTAATATTATTAACAGCTACAATGAAGAGTGAATTTTGGAGAGCCAAGATTGCCTACGTTTGGAAGAACCTGTCTAGTAAATGGTTGGTAGAACAGGGATTACAAGAGGCAGAAAAATAAGCTAATATTATTCACAGCTACAATGAAGAGTGAGTTTTGGAGAGCCAAGATTGCCTACGTTTGGAAGAACCTGTCTATTAAATGGTTGGCAGAAAATTGTTAATAGCTGCATAGAACAGCCAATACAGGGGACACAGAGGAAACAATATTCATTTTGAAAATAAGAAAAAAAAACTTAGCAGAAGGCAAAAAGCGGGTAGACTGGTCAGACAGTTAGTGCCATCCGTGATACACGCTTAGGCGATCATGTATCTTTCGATACATGACTGACGAGGCAGATTTTTCACTTAGTAGGTTGCCATTTCTTTCTGCGGTAGACCAGTTGCCATTCAAGGCTATAGAACCCGGTCTATCCCGCTATTTACCCATAGATGGGGGGATGAGGATTGATACCTTTCCCCAGGGGTCAAAATCTTATGTGCCAACTTGTAATGACCCTCTCTCCTCAATATGTCTCCCAGCTGCCTCTTCCTGATCTTAAGCATAAGCCTTTCCATGTTTGAAACCTCTTTAAGACCTCATTGTTGCTAACACGCTCGGTCCATGATATCCTTAGCATCCTTCTGTAGAACCACATCTCCGTCGCCTCGCATCTCTTCTTCATCTTTGAGAAAATCGTCCAACATTTGCTGCCGTAAAGAAGGACAGATTACACATAGCAACACAGTTTTTTTTTTGCTACAAAAGAAATCCTCCTGTCTTGCAATAATCTGCCCAGATTTTGGAATGTTTCCTTGGCCTTCCCAATAGGTCTATCAATCATTACTTACACGCTTAGGTGATCATGTATCTTTCGATACATGACTGGTGAGGCAGATTTTTCACGTAGGAGGTTGCCATTTCTTTCTGCGGTAGACCAGTTGCCATCCAAGGCTATAGAACCCGGTCTATCCCGTTAATTACCCATAGATAGGGGGAGAAGAAGAGGATTGATACCTTCCCCAGGGGTCAGTCAGTTATGTGCCATGCGTGATACAAGCTTAGATGATCATGTATCTTTCGATACATTAATGTCGAGGCAGATTTTTTTCCCAGCAGTAGGTTTTCCTGTTTTTCTGCGGTAGACCAGTTGGCATGCAAGGCTATAGAACACAGTGTGTCCTGCTATTTACCCATAGCTGGGGAGTCAGATGAGGACTTATAACTTTGCCAGGGGTATTAGCACGTAATTGAATCTAAAGTTTTCGTGTGAGATTCGAACTCAGCTCTCCGATTCTTCATCTGAAACCCCAATTTATATACACAAAGAATACAATAGTTCCGGAAGAGAGAAGTATGTTAGGAGACACAATTGGCATAGAATTAACTCTTACGTCTAGCCATTTCAACTGTAAAATGATGAGACCTAGCCGCCAATCTAGTATAGCGTTTAAATTCATAAAGTCAAGGTACCACAGACGAAAGTAATATTTATTTTGTTATAATACAAAAATGTGGCACAAGGCCAGAAGGTGTGCAGTGCGAAAGGCTGGTCTTCAATCTGTTTTTTTTCTTAAATTTAGCGAGCCATGTTTACTGGCCCAGTCATATCACAGTATTCCTTACAACAAAACAACACATTCTTACTATTCTTACTCAGTTATGTGTCATGCGCGATACATGCTGAGTCGAACACATTTTTACTTACAATTCTTACTACAACCACCTTGATACGTCATCGTCTCTATGAAGTTCTAACTAGTTCCCATATGTACAATTTGACTGTTTGCGTGAGGAATAAAAATAACAATTTAAAAAAGAAAAAAAAAAGAGGAAAGGTTAGATCAATTACCATGAAAATATTTACAGAAAAGTCACAAAGAAGGTGCATTTTACGGTGGGAAAAAATGAATGAACCCGAGTTGCCATGTCAGGAACAAAATTATTGCAGGTCCTACTTTATAATCTACCAAGACTCTCTAAATACAAAATAAAAGCACCAGATCCAATGTAGAAAGCAATATTAAATGCATGGACGAATGGTAGATTTATAAACCTGTAAGATAGATTCCGGCGAGAAAAAAAAAATTGGAAAGTTTAGTTTTCAAGAAATATCATTTAAGGAAAAAGATGGCAAAAAAAACATGGCTGATCCATAGATAGAATCAACTTCTACGTGAGTGTTATTTTTCCGTTTTATGAATGAAAGAAAATGCAGAAAGTATTTTATGAAAATATAAAAAAAAAATTTCTATGAAAACAATAACCAATAAAAAGAAAATGACTGTGAGTCTAAATAATTTTTTATCAAATATCTAAATTTAAATTGCTCGAAACCTGTATTGACTTATCGTTTTTCCATCAATTTTTTTCTCAACACTTAACTATTCAATCCAGTGAAGTAGAGATAAGAGCTAACTTGTAGAAATTTGAAAATGAAATTTTTATTTTAAATTTTAATTACACACACACACACACACACACACACACACACACACACACACACACACACACACACACACACACACACATACATATTAATACTATTTAAAAATAATATATCATTAAACATTTTAATTACATATACATATAAATATACATGCACACATACACAGACACATATATATATATATATATAACAATATATTTGAGAACAATATTTTCATTTCAACATTTAATTACAAGTATATCTATCTATCTATATATCTATCTATATATATATATATATATATATATATATATATATATATATATATTTATATATATTCTGTAAAAATATTTCATCTAAAATTTCATTAAATTATAATTATATATATATATATATATATATATTCTGTAAAATATTTAAGAAAATATTTCATCTAAAATGTTAATTATATATATATATATATATATATACACACATACACACACACACACACACACACACATATATATATATATATATATATATATATATATATATATATATATATATATATATATATGAATAATATAATGTATCAGGTTCACTGCCCAATACAAGATTGCATTTAATAAATATATATTACCTATAGTGGATATACTAACATCTCGTTCATTAGAGACCTCACTTGTCACTTATCATTTCACAAAGCTATAGTAAACATTTATCTACCGACAATTCATAAGAAACCGTAAAAAATATTATGTTCGAAAAAAATAGCATTCTGTATAAATCACATTACCGAAAACATCTTGCTATAAGTGAGGCGCTGTATATTAAACATCTCTCTCCCACTATCAATCTCGACTTATTTAACGCTAGGAACGGAGTGTTAAAAGTGTCTTTTTTTTCTTTTAGTTAAATAGAAATAAGATCAATCGCATTCCAGCCGCACTCAACATGCAAAATCTCAGAATAAACGCTTCTACTATTGTCTACTACAACATGATAATAACAAACATCTTAAACAATAAAAAGCTAAAGATGAATTAACAACACCTAAGACACTCCTTGCCCATGAAAATGGGAAAACAAATGACTGCAAGCGCTTGTAATGATAGACAATATGAACAATGTTTGCACTCCTTCACACCCATCGAACGGAAAACAGTAAGAACGCTGTAATGACTAAAGAATAAATAAAATAAATTTTCCTTGTCTGTCATACTTAACGAAAGTTGCTGGACATACATACATACGTATATATATATATATATATATATATATATATATATATATATATATATATATATATATGTGTGTGTGTGTGTGTGTGTGTGTGTGTGTGTGTGTGTGTGTGTAAAATATATAGAAAATAGGAAAGAATTTGTTAGGTAAATAATCCAAAGTTCTTTAGTTTTTTTGTTATTATTTAAAAAAAAAATAGTTCTCGATACAAAAGTAGAGCATAAATATAATTATTTATTTAAAAATATGATTCCAACGGTTCATAAGAGTTCTCGTGTTTCAAAAGAAAAGACGGAAAGTTCAATATAAATTCAGTTTAATTCAAAATAATTATATTGAAGTTTTTGGCTCTTGTTTTGAAACATGAGAAAACTTATGTGGCGTTGGAATCATATTTTTAAATAAAATTATATTATATATATATATATATATATATATATATGTATATGGTAAGCATATATATATATATATATATATATATATATGCATACACATACATATATATATATGCATGCACACATAATACATATATATGCATGCATAAACATATATATATATATATATATATATATATATATATATATATATAGTTAAATCATATATTTTTAGATGCATCACAGGTGGTCTTCAGTGATGCAATATTCTCATCGCCGATTTCGGGTTTCCCATCATATCGGCTCCAACAGCAACCCCCGACCTGATTCTAAACGAGTCAGGCCGCCTCCTTGAATGCGTCCTGCTACGCACCGCTTCATTGCGAAAAAACAGTAAACACAAGAAACTAACAAGCCCGGACTTCCACCGTTCTTATTAGCATATGTCAGTCAGCATCAGCCAATGAAAACAAGGCTATTCACGCTTGTCTCCTAAATAGTGTTGTCTTTTTACTTCACCCGGTTTCGATTTATTACTTCCGGAATCCATAACGAGGTGAGCTGGTATCTTTATTGAAATGTTTAAGCCCATGTTTTACATATTAAATACTAATCCTATAGCTATACTAAATCTTAAACTAAACCTACACACGTAGCCAACCCAAATCTATCCGAAACTAGCAATTTCTAAAAAGAAATTCGCTATTCTATCTATCAGGTCAATCTGTAACGTTTACCTTATCCTTTTAATCAAACAAAATAACACACACATAACAGAAATCCCCTGAATATACGTTCCTGCATTCACACATAAATGTAACTACGGACACACACATGTATTGACACACGTACATAACATCTATCCCCCATTTACTTATATTCATGAAACCATTCACTACAAATTAAGTCATACTAAGTTATCTAGATTTCCTTCCCCGTTTTGTCATTTACCGACTAAAATAATTCGTTGGCCTAATAACAATAAATAAATAAATAATTATGCTATCTACTCAATTAAGTAACCTATACACATATTTAAAATCTGATACATATTTCTCAAAATAAATCTACCCAATTAGTACGAGCATCAACTCCTTAAATTTCCAGATTATTATGACTACGAAACTATATCTTTCTCCCCCCACCACATCATTCATAATAAATATA